GTTTGGAAGTTAAAAATTGCTGCAATAATTCTGTAATTGGTGGATAAACATGCAAAAATTAGATGTTTGGTTGATTTTCTTAATTAGTAATCTGCAGTAATGAAAGGAATAAACGAAGATGTTCCTAGCTAAAGAAATATATATGTTCCTATACATACTATATTACCAGAACTGCTGTCATATTCTTATCCTGAACAAATGAAGGCTAAGAAACTTTCTGAGGAAGCTTTGCTGTAAACTGACAAAAACTCCACAGATTAAGGGAAGAAGTCTATAAGATGATAACACATCTGGCTATATATAAGTTAAATATGATAACCTGAGCCTGTTGATAGTAAAATAATCTCAAATGATAAGAGATTATGTCAGTGGAGGAAATTTAGGGCTGACTTTTTTGTGTGATGAGTTGTTCTGGGAGCAGAGCCACTGCTGCCTGACTTCTTGGATCTTGTCTCATAGATCTCCTGTAGGTTCCAAGTTGCCTCATTCCTTTGAAACCCCTCCTTCAGTTTGGGAATTGTTTACCTTAGACACTTTCAGGAAATTCAAGGAAACATAGTTACCTTTCAGGTCTTTATATAGTAAATGGCTTTTCAATCTGCGGGGCAGTTTCAGACAGATATGGAATGACAAGCAGACAGAAGTCTAAAGCATTGTACTTCTGCAAGTTCTGTGTTTTCCCTAAGAAAAAAGATATCTTTTGCTAAAACTGCTAAGTTAAGGGTAAATTAATGTGTCTCCAGAATGTTATTGCATATACGGGGAGGTTACAAAATGGAAAGGGGAAAATAAGGCAGGAGAGATAAAGAGGCATGTAGCCGAGAAGAAGGAAAAGGATGGGAGAAATCTCTTACCCCACATTATGACAGAGACTGACAGGGTGGGTGGTGGCTTGGAGCCCTATTCCAAATTGGCAGAAAACAAAAGTTGAATTGGGCCTGGAAGAGAAAGCTCAGAAGCCCAGGGTTGAATCTGAGCCAGTGTGCTTCTGATAGGATTTTGATTTGTAAATGTTTCATTCCAAATCCAAATCAGATGAAGTGGATAGAGGTTGATTATGGAGGAAAATAATTTTTGTTTCTTGCAAATTAAACATTATGAGAGGAAAAAACCCCAATGCTTACTTTCCGGAAAAAAAAAAGAAATTTTGCCTAGAAATGAAATTTTTATTCGCCCTGAAATATTTTGAATAGACATTTTGCTGCTTTTTTTTTTTTTTTTTTTCCCTTGGTAATGTCAGAAAGACTGTGTAAATTTCCAAATATAACCCATTCCATCCAAGTGGTATTTTAATACAGAAAAACATTTAGGTAAATTTTTTGCAACTGATTCTAGTTGCAGTTTATGTCCAGATTAGATGCATATTTTAGCAGAATCTTCTCAGGTACCAAGAACAAAAGGATCTCTGGACTTTGGACAAAAACACTTGCCTTGTTTTGGCTGGTCAAAAGAAGAGATCAGACAAAAAATTGTAACTTCCCTCAAATTCATACCTTTTCTTCTTTTTTTCTTTGTTTGAAATTACATTTTTGACTCCCATAGCATATGTTCTTGCATGTATTTCTTGGCACTCCTGAAGGGCAGATCTGTTTCTTACATGCTTCCTGCCTTATTTTTTTCTGGGGAATTAATTTTGTCCTGGATATGTGTGCAGAATTCCTGTGACAGCCATAATTTTTCTTTAATATCATTGTATACACAGAGCTTCTGTATTAATACTGAGTTTGCTACCTGCCCACCAGCAAAGCCATATGCTAGAATCAAATGTTAATTGGTTATCAGTTGGGGATTTAGTCCTACTCATCTGCTAGGTGGATAGTATGAGAAACTTACACCAGAGTTAATGGAACATACTCTCTAGTCTTGTTAAATTGCCTCTCTGCCATAGATTTGTTCCATTACAATCACAGCACAAAATGAGGTTTGGATTTGTTTTAGCATTGCAGGCTCTTTAAAATTCTGGTTTGTTTTCCAGTGTGGATTGACAGGAATCTAGAAAATCAGGGAGGATGGAAGGGACCTCTGGAGGACATTGAGTCCAACCTCCTCAAAGCAGGCGTGGTTAGAGGCCAGAACCTTGGTTAGAAACCAGAAACTTTGAGTGCCTTTGAGGGAGGAGATTTCCCAGCTGCTCAGGGCACCTATTTCACTTTTTTACCATCCTCATGGTAAAATGCTTTCCTTGTAGCATGTTCTCACTTGTGCCTGTTGCTCCTTGTTATGCACCTCTGAGAAGGACTTGCTCTTGGGTTTTCCTGGGCTCAGGTGGTTGCAAACCAGCAGCAGGGTCTGCCCTGCATCGTCTCTGGGTCTGAACAGCCTCAGATCTCAGTCACTCCCCTCATCCCAACCACCTTGGCAGCTCTCTGATGGGCTTGCCTCAGTTTCTCAGTAGTTTTCCTGTCACTGAAGAGCCCAGGATGGGACCCCACACTCCAAAGGAGGTCTCACAAGCGCTACAAGATCACTTCCTTTGTTCAGCTGGTTTTGCCAGTGATTAACACAGCCAGGGTGCCATGGCCACAATGACTCCCTGCAGAGTCTGAGTGAAGTTACTCCATCCTGGGTGAAGGTGTGGGAATAACTGATGAACCTGGAAGTGGTTGAATTATCTGCGATCAAGAGCTGTTGAGATAGAAAATGGAAAAGTGTTGTTCTAGGGCTGTACACAGGAACACAGCCATACAACAGCTCTAAGATTATGTGCTCTTGGGGATGTCCTGCTCCTAGCCAAGGAAACCAGGGCTACAAATTGTGCAGAACTCTATTCCTTACACATAACTTCACAACAGCAGTGCCTAGGCAGGAACAAGATTTCAAAGATTTGTACCTAAGTCTGACTTTGTAATTCAAGAACACTTGGAGTAAAAAGCAAAGCACATTCTAAAGTCTTCCAAGGAACAAAGTTTGAACAAATATTGCTAAATCTATGAATAAGCAGCAGAAAATACCCTGTTAGTAAAACAAACAACAACAACAACAACAAAAAAAATATATATAAAGGGTAAAAAGTGTAGTTAGGGAGACAAAGAAAAGGAAGTAATTTTACCAAAGCCTGGTGTGGAATAAAAGAATAAAACCAATAACTGAGATGCATACTCATCAAAAACACAGTTTTTAATTGAAAAGTTGACAGACCTGTAACTACAGCAGTGCCTCTGGCCGCCACTATAATAAATGAAACTGTACATTTAGAGTAATTTGCTAATTTGCCTAAGTAACACCCACAGACAGCAACATGACATAAATACATTAGTGGAAGCAACAACTATAACCAGCTCATACAGGTTCTTGGCTGGTAGATGGATGGATCAGATGAGCTGGAAAAGATTTACCAAACAGAACAGAAATGGAGCTGGTAACAACATTGTGGGATCTAGGATTTCTTTATTCCTTTAAGGCCTGAAGATGCCCATACATGTTGCAGCATGAAAATAACATTTTTAACTTGTGTGTGTATGTGTGCACACACCTGGAAAGCTTGTACAGGTGGAGTACACATCTGCTAAATGCCAAGTGTTTCAGAAGCAAAACAGAGAAGTCTTTCAGGTAAATTATTGAATCTTGAACATTTAACATGTAATTATAAATATCTGAAAATAATTTTTGTTAAATATTCTAAAGACACATATATATTTGGTCCATAGGAAAGACTGGAACCTCTACTATCAGCTTTTCTAATGCAGGTGTTCCAAGTGTCTGAAACTTATACTTCAGAATCATCCATGTCTTCTTCTGGCAAAGTTCAGCTCTGTGTCACCTCCCTTAGGCTAGCACTGTTCTGTCTTCTGTTTCCATAGCTCTGAATCACACTGTTGCATTTTATTCTGAAGTCCTACTCATGCCAACTTTTGCCATTGCATACTAACTACTTTTTTGTGTTCTCTAAATAGCCTGCCTCCAGGTTAAGCTTGGGCCATTGCTAAGGATTTTTGTGTTATCAACAATGCATTTCTAAAATTAAAACCCCAAAAAATTGCTGTTATACATGGAGGGTTTAATTTTCAATAAAATATTTGTTTCTGGTCCCAGTCTCCTCTTCTAACTGTCTCGATCCTGATACAAATTAACAGTGCAGAAACAAAGCTAATGAATGCAGCTTTGCATAGTTTCTGTCTTTGTTTCCTCCCAGATGTGCTTAGGAGGTTTGTGCTGAGCTGTTTGAGATAGGCAATGCCAGCTCTCAGGGGCAGAATCCAGTGAATAACCAAATGCGGAGTCAGGTGAAAAGTTTCTGTTTCAGTGCTGCTCTCAGGAAGAGCCCACATGTGTGGGCATATATATTCTTGCCTTCATCAGAAGGTTGTTCTAAGGTTTTTCACTAAATACGGGTTGTAAAATATTCTTGAACGTGAGTCACTTTAAATTATAGTCCATGGAGCTAAGGGAGTCACTGAGAAAATGGAGCAGGAAAAAAAAACATGGGATAGAGGCAAAGAGTGAGATTTCACTGTGGGATGTGGATTTTTGACAGGAAAACTGAATCCATGCCTTGCTTGAAGGCTTGATATTAATGTCAGGGCAAAGACCCCTCTGGCTGACCCAAGTTCTGAGTGTCAGTACAGGCTGACAAAGACCTCAGCTCTGGGAGAAAAGAGCTGACATGATTTTATGAAGCATTATGGCTGATCTTCTTTGAACCCTAATTTCTGTCAAAGAGTTATCATCACTGTCACAGTAAATGATACTTGCAGCACAAATGGCAATTAACTAGAAGTAAATAGTAGAGCAGAAGTCTGCAGACTGGTTTTTAAGGTTGATGAGTTGAAAGTAATTTCAACACATTAATGCTAAGCATGCTAAATCATAGTGTGCCATGAAAAAGACAGTAATGTCACTTACCTGAAATCAGCAGGAATTACAATAACAAGTAGTAGGGGTAGGCTCGATTGTTTCAAATATGTGAGCATATTACAGGAACTGATAACACTTTGTCTATCTGTTTGCTTTTATCAGATTTTTTATAAAACAAGTAATTTGTTTGTTTTTCACTGTTCTAGGTAGCCTGCCCTATGAATACAAGATTGTGATAGCAGGAAATCATGAATTGACCTTTGACCAGGAATTCATGGCTGACTTAATCAAGCAGGACTTTTACTATTTCCCCTCTGTTTCTAAGCTGAAGCCAGAGAGCTATGAAAATGTACAGTCTCTTCTAACAAACTGCATCTATCTCCAAGACTCTGAAGTGACGGTGAGGGGATTCAGAATATATGGCTCCCCTTGGTAAGCAGGTTTTTAAGCATACATTAAAAAAATATTGTTGATTGCTATCACATCAGCCATTTTGTCTGCATCAGCTGTATTTGGTTTGCTGTGTTAGGAAGAAAAGTAACACTCACTTTGATAAAGTTTCTATATTTTCTTGTAATGAATCATTCCTGTGACAGAACAATGTACCGTACTGTGGGTATGGTTAACCAAATAATAATGGGTTAAAAAGATGGTGTGCTCTTCAAACTCTCAGCCAGGAGTAGTTGTTTAACAGTTCATGCAGGGGGCTTTTGTGTCATAAAATATGTTTTCTATCCTTGGTGAATTTATTTAATTACAAGTTTATTTTATTGCAAGGGTACAGTCTTTTGACAATTTCCATCCTACAGAAAATATTGGAGGTTCATTAGTGTGTACAGTAGTCACTTAACTCAACAAGCTTATTTCAGCAGCTCTGAAGTTCTTTTATTGCATATCCCTCAGAATCTTGCTTTCTTTTTATAAAGTAATAGCTTTCCTTAAGGTCTAGCTGAGCTTCTAAAGTCAACAACTCAGTGGCAGCTTAATATTTCATGGATTTTGCTCTACTGCATAGTGATCACTTAGAACCTTTGACAGTATAGAAGGCAGATGGACTTTGGTCCCTGACTTCCTTGTATGTGCTTCTCTTGTGTCTCTTACTAATGTCCCATTGCTGCTTATTATTTCTGCTGATGGGCCTGTAAATTGGGTCTTTTGTGAGCATTTGGTATATGTTTAAAATAAGTAAAAATGTATTTTAAAAGGCAGGATTTTAAGGGAATATATTATTCTTCCTTTTAACATCACATCAGGCTGAAATGTAGCAAACAAGTTGTCAAACCTGATGCATATACCCTGATGTGAATTTTCAGTGTGAATAAACTGTGAAATCTCATGGATTTTTTTTTTTTTATGAAAATTGGCTTTTTCCCATTTGGTTACTTGAGATGGGTGTTAATTTTGTCTAAGCTTATTATTCTACATTTGTCTAGATTAGTTTCCCTCTTAAATGCACCCTTCTCTTTCTCCCTCTCAGGCTTCCAGATCTTTCTGGTTTTGTTTTTTTTTCAACTTACCAACCTGCTGTGTTGTAGCAGATCTTCCTCTTATGTGTACCATGTATGCAGTCAGTGTGCAGTTTGCTTCATTTTCCAAATTATTTGGGAAGATGTTAGATGGTATCAGTCCCAGTATTAACTTCTGAGAAATGCCACTTGGAATGTTTTCCCATTTTGATGTACATCTGTAAATACTGTAATTATGCTCTGTTTACAATATGTCTGGCAACCTCATATCTTCATTTTAGTGTTGGTAACCAGGCACCATATTTCCAGTGTCAGTAATAATTTTCCAGGCAGTGAAGTACCAAAAGTTGCATGGAAGTCTAGAGAAATTAAATTAAAGCAAAACACTATCTATAAAGTAGCACTATGTAGAGGATAAAGGGAACCACTTGAACTTTCTGTGTGTGATTAGATCTGCAAAAATCTGTTGAGAAAACCCTTTGTCCACCCACTAACCCATAAATAATGTTTCTGTAAAATCAGCTCTACCACATTCCCTTTGTGCAGAAATCTTGTCACTCTACACAAGTTGCCTGAGCTATCTGCCATGATCTATCCTTGAAGTAAAAACAATGCTTTGCATCTTTTCTGCAACTCCAGGTCATAGCTACACTTCCACACTCCATGTTTTACAATGCTGCTAAATCATCTTCCACCCCTTCATGGTCCAGGAAGTTGAGTGTTGCAAGGTCTCCTGAAGATACTTGCTTTCTCCATCTGGGAGAGAGTCTTGATGAAAGTCTCCCAGCCAAATTAAGTTTTTTTGCTCACTATTCAGCAACACAGAATGAAGTTTCCATGCCAACTGATGACATGTCCAGTGGAAACATCATCAACAGTAGCAATAAGAGCCCTTCATCAATCTGTCAAGACAGCAGATGCAGAGTCCCATCAGCCAGGCTACCAGTCTTGGGAAGACAAACAGCCCTTATATGGGGGTTTGACTAGCTGCTGCTGGATTTCAGGCTGTGGTACACTCCGGTGCCTAGTGAGCATCACTGTTCTTTGGCATTTCTGTTGCTATACTTTGTTTGCCCTAAAAGTAGAGGTTTGTCATAGCCTCTCTGGGAAATCAATCTCACTTTCTTTCTACATCATAGTCATATAATCTCTAAAAAGGTGCAGAAATTTGCTGAATTTTACATGGTGAATATTTTTTTTGACCTAGCATTAAAAAGCTAGTCCCCTAGAAAATATTTATGAACATAGTCAAGACTGTCCCCTAGAAAATATTTATGAACATAGTCAAGACTTCAAAATTTAAAGTTCTCTAAGGTCTCAGAACTCCAAAAGAAAGTCAAATTTCATGCAGTTGCTTGTCTAATATACTAAAATAATTTTCTTTTTTCTATTTTGAAAATATGCACTTAAACTTTCCATTTCTAGTTGCAGCGCTGACCTTCTGTCTTACATGACCTTTAGTTGAAATAATTAGAAGATAGCGATATCCCTCATTCATAAAACACATTGATCAATAGTTGCAAAGTACTTTGAGAACACTGGAGTAAGGTCTGAGTAAAAGCCAAGTAGCATTAACTTAGTGTCTTTTATCTGTAGCCATCTGCATTTTTATATATAACCTGTACACATTAGATTATACTTCTATTTAAAATGTTTTAGTTGCAAATTAAACCATAAGAGCTTGATTGGTTTGTATAACATGCCAGTCTCTGAGGTATTTTAAATATGTACCACTTGTGTGTGGTTAAATATTTTTAATAGCACTTGGTATTTTGTCCTCTATTATTATCTAAAACCAAGTGGTTATTTTTAATTGCACAGAAGAAATGGGACAAAAAACCAATGCTCTAACTCTCCTGGGCTCCAAGGGTAAGAATTCAAGTGCCAGATTGAGCCTCTACTCACTAACGAAAATTTAACTGTCTTAATTGTTAATTACACAAGTATTATCATTGAGCAGGGAGCAGCCATTTTGAAATGCCACTTGCAATGCACAAAAGCAGCTACTTAGGAATTAGTACTTGCAAAATCTTGGACCATGGATAATCAGGAAGAGATAGATGTTAAGGAGGAGAAGTGTGAAAACATTAGAAGTTTAATGAGAAACTCAGGAATAACAAGATTTTTAAAGTGTCCAGAGCAATGCTGAGTACAATGGGTAACTGGTTGGCCTAGGGGCATGATGCTTCTCACAGTGCATATGGGGGTGGCTGCCAGATCTGGATGAGCAGGACACCAGTATGAATGCAATGCGCTTCACAGACTCCCAGGATGGCTCAGGCTGGAAAGGACCACAGTGGGTCACTGGTCTCACCTCCCTGCTCCAAGAGCTGGACAGAAGGCCAGGATCACTTGATTCACTGCCTTCAGTAAAGCACAGATGCTGGGTAGTGTTGGGTCCTCTTCAGTAAAAAGGCTGGACATCCTGATTTTTTTTTTTTGTAAAAAAACTAGTCACAGGAAAATGCACTCTGGTTTCATCCCAGCAAAACCCAAGGCATGGCCAGAACGTATTTGCAGACCTGGAAACCATCTTGTGAAGACAGCAGTTGTAGTTGCTGTGAACGTAAAAGAGAAGACTTTAGTTCCTCAATAACATTTACTGTAAAATGGAAAGCTTCTAGTTGAAAAGTACTTTTAAACTCCTCTTTTGTTCTGAACTGTTATGAAGATAGACAAACTGGCAGATAGAATAACTCAAATAGTTCTGTGTAATAATTCCTATAAAGTACTTGGGACTGCTAAGACATCCCAAGGATGAAGCCATTTTCCAGAGGGTTTTAATTTATTTTTCAGTAACAAAAAAACCCCCACGTAATAGAAGTAAAAATATAGCAAGCAGGAACACCAGAGAGGTGGCAGAGAAAACACCCTTAGGTGTTTCCAAGACAGTCATGGCTGACCAGATCTAGTGATGGTGAGAGGTAGTGAGTGGTAGGTTGGACAGGAACTCTCCAGAGGTCCTTTTTGAGCCATCTTTCTGTGATTCTGTCAATCCCACTATGGAGCTAGAACTGTGTGTGAGGCAGATATCTGAAATGGGCAGGTATTAACAAAGGCCTTGCAACAGGGAGTTTGCTGTTGTTATCACACTCTGATACTGTGACACTGAACACAACAGATGGTTCAGAAGTCAGGAAGTTGAGATAACAGCAGAAGTTTTAATTTGGATTTGAAACAGGTCTTTGTCATCAGACAGCGTTCTGTGTTATTAGAGAGGGTATTAACTCTATGATGACATCATTCATGGAAAAATACTAATAATTTATTAGTCAGTATTTGGGTTACAGATTTTCAGCCTTCTATTGTAGTTCATCAACCCCCCCAGTTGCAGGTAAGACTTGTAGTACTAGCCACAGCTTGAAGATAGACTATACCATCCATTCTTGTTTCTGTAACTGCCAAAGATTTTAATTGCACAATTACACACTGTGTTTGCACAAAAATACCTAATGCATTCAGTGCACAAGATCTGCTGTGCTTGCTGAACGAGTTCACTGTATATTAATCCTTTTACAGTTGTTATTCAGAAATGCCCTGTAAAAACAAATGCCTATAAAAGTGCATGTGCATCTATGTATCAACATGAGAACAGGTCTCTGAGGTTTGCAGAAAAGATGTGTATCTGCTAAAGGACAGGTATTCTGTGTGTATACTCTGATCTGGTGGAAAATGGCAAGTGGCCATTTTATTAAGAAGTGGATGATTGTGCATTAGTGACAGGATGAGAGTACACATTTTACTTGATAGCGCAAAACAAACGCAAGTAGCAGAAGGAGAAGATATTTTTCTAGCTTTCCATAATATTTGTAAGCAGATGTATATAACTGCAGGAAAAACTTAGGTCTTCCTGCTTTCAAACAGGCATGCAAGGTGGCAGGAGAGCATTTTATCTCTTTCCATTTTCCACTATATGGGAAAGGAAGGGACGATCACAACTCTCTTGCAAACATATGACAGTTTCAT